TTTTTTCGATATTTCGTTACACCTCCTTAAACAACGGGCACAATATAATATATACATAGCCTACTGTAGGCATACTTGTCTGTATATCATTGGATTAATCTAGTTACGATTAGTTGTTTTTTCGTTGTACAACTTTCCCGTAAGTTCAAAATTTCAATTTATTATCTTAAACGTTATTATTATTATTATTATTATTATAGTTTTTTTACACTTATTTTGTTTATAAAGTTGTCTTGTATAACCGTAATAGTTATTATAATATACTTATGTAACGCGATTGCTGTTAACACTACGACATTTTATCATTATTCGTCACATTATAATGCCTTATAATATATTTATAATTTGTTTTTGATTGGATGTATTTTTATTTTTGAAAATGAATGTTCATAAAAAATATTATAAATGTATACTAAGTAATATAAGCATAAAAAGTACTAAGTATAATATACATGTTGAATGAAAGTTTTGAACAAAATTCATTGTATTAATTTATGAGTAGGTATAATAAAATTACCTACCAATTAGTCTTTGAAATAAAATACTATAAGTCTACAAATGATTTAAAATTGTTTCTTAATTCCAAAATATTTTAATTTTTTGCTTATAATATTTAATTCGAAACTTTAAAAAATCGTTAGGTATTAATATTTTAATATACTATTTTTTTGATCAAGTAATCTCTTCTCATCTACTAATCAATTATGAATAATAAATATAAGCTAAACTATAAACGATGATCTTGTTTTATATTACAGGTCAGAGTTTGGATTGTACTTTTATCTCGGTGGGTTTCAATACATTTTATCACGTTTTTAAATTATGATAGATAGTAAAAATCGGGATCACAGTTCTATATTATTATAAACGGATGTTTATACATTTATTTTGGGTAAAGGTACAAATAATGTAAAGATAACTTTCAAATGAATTTCAAATCAAGAATTTAACATTGCTTTTATTTAGACGATAAATGCTATCAATTCGAGTCAAGATTCCAAGTTTTAATTTAATGTTATAACTTGTAACCATTTGTTTTCTAAACAATTAGGCTATCACCGATTTGTTATACAACGGGATGCACATTATACATAATATTAACATAATAACATATTTACATAAATTTCCAAATAGGTTCAACGGAAAGTAGAATACTATGGAATTGCAGAATAATGTTCATCGAATAAAAAATATGAACCGTACGCGTATAACACGTGTGAAATGATATTGAATTGCTTTTAATTCACATGCAAATGTATTAATTATTTCTATACGAGCTGCTCGTGACCATACGAATATAACGTTCGTTATAGGTTTATTATTTCGTTTCTAAGACGGCTTTTATTACATTATTACTTATTTAATCTACAGAGAATTGATGTTTTGACATTCAAAGTCGTCGCACGTGTCTTATTGCCTTAAACACGTCAATGTCGTTCGCCCATCGTATTACGACCATTTCCCGATCTCAATTAGAGTGACTATAGTTAGTTTGCATACACGCGCTCGCATTTAGAGGTACAGAACAGAACATGATATTATACATATTACTCGTAAATCGATGATATGGCCCACACGTCTGCAGAATATTAGACGCGTGTAGGTTTTTACACGTGTATCCGTATATATCATTCATTTACGTTATTATACCCAATGTGTACTAAACCATTAAATCACGTTTATATTATTATATTATATAACGTCTTTCCCGTGTAACTCTAAACCGGTTCACTACACGAACGTTTTCTCGGTTCGTTAAAATAAAAAGTTGTGATAACAAAAAAGCCGGTTAAATTAAGGTACAATAAATTTCTTTCAATTTTTTTATTTTTATTTTTTTTTTATGTTTGTTTTGTTTTTGCATTACTAATAAGTAATAACAGTAATGAGTAATAACTAATAAGTAATAAATAATAATTATTTGACGACTAACGTACGTCTACGCGACGAGCAATATAATGTTGTATTTACGTATTTATGTATGAGGGTACTCGGATTACAAGACGATAACCTAAATAACCTACCGGCTTTCGTTGATACTCAGTATCCGTGTAATATTGGATGGCAATGATGACATGTTAAACGACGTTCTCAAGACGTTTAATTTAATAATATAATATGAGTATTATAATATTACGAGTTATAACATTAGGTTACCGACTTTCTGTATAGTAACCACACCGAACCCGCCGACCGCATAAGGCGTTCGGTTTGCATACACGCGACGCCTTGCAATGAACTGTATAATATTATTAATATTATAACCATACGATATGCACGTGATGTTATATATACGACTGGGTAGCAAAATTATAACTAATAATATTATTATTACTGTTTAAATAGCGAATTAACCAAATACTAGATAATTTATTACTCTGTTTATTTATTTAATTTGTTTTTAGTTTAAGTATATCAACGTTTTAGATAATATTTTAGCGATCGCAAGTCGCATTAAGTAATAAAAGACAAAAGTTATAACTCATAGTTATATACACTACACATAATAGAATGATATTATAGTCCTACAAAACATTTTTTGTTTTAATATATGCAAAAAAAAGTTACATTTTATTTAACATCAAAATAAACCAAGTACCTACGCGTCTTCGACTTGATTTATAGATTTAATTAAGTGTTATTAAATTCAGTAGTTGACTTTTATTATTAATTTTCGACATTTGTACTACTTCTTGAAAATCCTGTTATATGGCTTCGTAGTTCTTATGCATCTATTGCTTTTAAAAAATATATATTTTTGAATACTGAAAAAACTATACTGGTCGCTGCACAACCATTGATTTTTCAGTACAAACGAATGATTCTAAAAATAGTAATAATTTCTGCACAACGTCTAACCAGACTCACTGTTAAAAATATGTTTTACCACTTTTTCGATACTTTTCTCTTGCATATATTATTATTAGTATTATTAGGCGTGGCTAAGAAATGTTTGTAAATAGAAATACTCAACATTATCTTATGTTAGTATGACGTTCATTTTTTAATCAAGTTGAATAAATTACAATATTGTTTGTATAAATGCATTGAGTATACAAATTGAAAACGCATTGCTTTATTAATTAAATGTGATAAAAATTGGACAAATTTAGATCGATTGAATAAGATTGATTGTCATAATATCATGGCAGTTGTTATAAGTATTCATTTTGTTTTTGTATTTTTAAACTTTTTATTGTATGATAGTTACATTTTATTTAATAAATATTGTTTTTTTTATATTCGTAAAATATTAAAATGTATGAAAGTGCAATTTAAAATGTTATTAATGTAAACGATTTTTTTTTTTGAAAATCAACGCGATGATGAGTGACAGTTAAAATTAAAATAACCATTAAATATTCATGTAGAATAGAAGTGTTGGATACATATCAACGTAAATTTATGTTAACACATTCATCAGTTTTAATAAGTTTGACATAATAAGTAAACATACCGAACATTATATTTCCGGTTAACAATTATTATATTCCATTCTTATTTGACGTAGTAGAATATTGTTATTTATTGTAGGAAGTTCTTAATAGATTAGATTTCATTGACCATGTTGCATAATGCGCTTATCAAATAATTTAAAAAATATATATTCAAAAAACAAGTTGGTGCATCTTATATTTACATAATCTATAGGCATACCTATATAAATTAAAAACAAATAAACCAATTATCAAAATAAATTCTGTTTTATTGGTTTAATATATTGCACCTATTAGTTTTAAATAAATAACATAATATTATTTTCCATTTATATAGTTTAATATTAAATTTTAGTGCCTATAACTGTTTTACTCTATAATTTAAACTTCTAATACTATGTATATAGAACATATATTTTTAACTAATATTATGAAGTGTAAGTGTAGATATAGAAACTATAATACAATATTATTAATATAGTCGATGGGTCAAGGTTCAAGAATTAAAAAATTATAATATAATCATGTATCTGATAAGCAATTGTTCTTATTATTTTTTGAAATTACTTTAACTTTAATTATGATTGTGAATAGGTTCGTTCTTTGTATCAGATTTTGAAAATGAACAAAATAAAATTTAATAGAAAAATTAACACTGATTTTTTACAGTATAGAGACTACGCATAAAAATTCAAAGAATTCAAATTCAAACTTTTTACTTAATCACATATTTGTACATGATATAAACTAGTATAATTGTATTCATAAAAAATCATCACATACAAATAACATATAGGTGTTATTAAAAACGGAAGGTTCTATTAAACTTCCTATTATAAATTATAACATACCATTCACGAATGTATATTTAGTGTGTTGTTTTTTATATAACTTATAATTATATTATAAATTTTAACACTTTACGGGTATTCTATCTTCACATTGGAGAAACGATTCGCAATTACTGAACTTAGTCGTAAACTAATTTTTGAACATGTTGTATGAAGCATTCTTTGCAACAAATAGCAATTGGTTGTAAATTCATTTAATTTTAATCAGAAATTTATCGCAAATCTATTAGCCAACATAATATATACTTTCATAAGCTCAATGTCTGATAACAAGAAGATACATACATAATTATGTATCACATTATACTTAATAATTTTTATATTTTCTTAAACATTTTCATAATATTATATTCACACATGTGTCGTATGTGTATAGTTTCAATGTCTATTGATTGAGTTCGACCTATCGTCACCGATCCTGTAAACCATTTAATAATGTGCATCATATTATGTTAATATACCATTATATATACTTATACTATTATAATATCAAATATGTACGATTATTATTGTTGTTTATTGGTGTAATGTGATGTAAACTAATATTGTGTATTACGATAATATCATAATAATATAATATATATATTAAATTATTGTAATAACTGTAATTGGTGACTGTTGAGACGCCATTTTAGAACCCCCTTCCATGCAAGTGTATCCCCGCAACATGTGCCAAAATGTTCATTAGACCATTCTTGTTATTATTTTACAGAAGGATCTCAGCAGCCGAATGGCTCTAATGCTAGTCGGCTTGTTGAAAGTCTTCTCGGCACTCGTTTTGATCGTGTCCACATCGAGCAATTCGTTGCTGTTGCTAGTGTTCTACCGCCGACCTGGTCTGCGCACCCTATCAAACAGGTGAGTTATTTAATATTTATTATGATAAAAACTGGTGATATAAGTTTAGTGCGTATGTCTTTATCGATAAACTATAAGTCATTCATTCTGTTTATAAAATTTTTTTAAATAGTATCAAGCGAATAAATTAAAATAAAAAATTTTATTTTCGATTAGACTATCTATGTAATATATTTTCTATATCTACCTATCGTTTAAGAACAATGCTTTTTTTAAAAAAAACAAAAATACATTATGTTCCATTAGGTATGTATGTAATATTCAAATTCAAATTTATTGTTATGTTATCAGAAAAATTCCCATTGTCTTAAATATATTTTCTAGGAAATTAATTCAAATATTCTGTGATAAAAAAATAAAAAACTAATATCTGCATCTAATGAATACGTTATACCTCTTCGATTTTAATGAGGTTAGAGTACCTTCTTATAAGTATATATATTTATTTGGTATTTAAATATGATATGAGAATTGGAATCATTTCACGATGAATATTTATACTTATATTGTTTATTTTTGTTTTTTTGTACGAATCAATCTTGTAGGTACTCATCGATTTTATAACTAAATTAATTTTGAATTAAATTTAAAATCTAATTAAGATTAACGAGCAGGTATTCATTAAATTTGTGATTGATATATTTTAATATAAAACTTTGCTTTTTTTCTGGGGTTCCACTAAATTAATCTTTATAATTTATATATGATGAAACGCATGCATATAATTGTATATAAATACTATATAATAAATAAAATCATCAAAATTGTTATTATGCCAAAAACTCAGTTAATATCTAGTTGGTATATTAAAAATGTTGAAAAAAAACCGAGTATTGTGCCAAAATAATTTTTGTTCGAGTGTATAATATATGCGTAATATACGTACCAGATATTTACTGCACTAGACATAATATAGTGTCTATATCAATCGATGAATAAATATTTAGGTTATTGAAAAATGTACTCTTAAATGTATGTCATATTTTTATGTTGAACCTACACACTTAAAGTAGCTTCGTTATTATTACTTGTTTATAAAATAGGGTAAATATATAGTTTAAACCGAAATCACATGATACAAAATATGTTTATTCCCGTGAATGTTTACCTACTCGAATCCCTAAGCTTTTTGTTATGATACAATTAATATATTTTCAATGTTAACGTTCCAAGGTAATGTAAGATATTTGGTTATCAAATTTCTAAAGTGGTTTACTGCTGCACAAGGGCGATAAATAACTTTATATATATATATATATATATTAGGTATACATTCATTTTGTAGTATAAAATAAAAAATATTGCGCAGAACAAATATGTCGCGGACAGGGTCAAAACCGATCAACCACGAGGACGTTGTTGCAAGTGGCAACGAACATTAGATGAGTACCTACTTATTTCTGTTTGATAATTAAAGTTTATTATATTAGGCATTGTGATACTATATATCATATATATATGTATATATATATATATATATATATTTAAAGCGTTTTTTATTTATCAACTAGTATTTTTTATATAATGAACACGTTTTATTATGGGAACTACCGTATTAGGGGCCTATCTATTATCTATACTATTATGATATACCTGATAATGTGTACACTGATCTTTAATTTTAGTTCTGCTATATGAAAACAATAATTTGCGTATACCTATTTGTATTGTGACATATTTTACAAGTCTGGAAAAGCATTAATCCTTTTATTTATCATATGTTTTAATTTCCATATTATATATTATATTTCGCTGACATACCTTTGTACATATTTACTTTTATTATAATACGATTAGTACTATGCATATAGTTTTTGCATGGTGCATTATAGTTTACATTGTTACCAATTAATAAGATTCCACTTTTTATTATTTTCGTGCAGTTTGATAGCTAATAAATGGTTTTTACTACAGCAACCAGGATTTACATTGATTCTGGTAAAATATCAAGAGTTTAAATGTCTTAAAAGAAAAAAATAATTAGTCTTCTGTAAGCAGATTCATATCATATTCTTTATCTTTATATAAAATACAATATTCGTTTGTTTTAGTAGTGTTATTTTTCTCTAGAGATCTATTTATTTTTTCATTAGGTATCAAATTTCTTTAAGTATAAAGAAGTTTTGTCAAAATTGTGACAACGTCACGTGTAATACTTACTTTATGGAATAATTTCAGACGATTATACATTATTACATAAGTTGGATCTAATCCATTTGGCATCTATAAAATGATTCCAATGCGATTTTTTTTTTTTATTACAGTTCACGATATTTTTAGATTAAATACTCATCAGTTTTTATCGTGTCCGGTTAAACCCGTTCTGATTCTTATTTCGCACTATAATTTACACAATAGTGATAAATCAAAAAATCTATGTGATGGTGTTTAGGCGTATTGATATTATGATAAATTATAGGTACGTGCTGCAGTGTGTAATTCCTCTAATCGATTATCTAAAAACAAATTTGACGTAAACGAATAGTAAATTTAAAAAACGAGAATATAATTAAGTTTCAAGTGACGTTCATAGTCAACGTAAATTTTAACGTATTATGTTTATGTAAAAAGTAGCTGTTTGTTTTTCCGCAATGTTTTATTTGTTATGACTTAAAGACTGGCATTAACACAATCATTCATTAACAGTTCTATAATTTGTTAGATTTTCTCTCGAAAATGACGCTGGATAGCGTTTATTATGGTATAACTGTATAAGACTGTATGTGTACTTTCGTTTTTAAATATCTACGAACAGTGTGATATAATTTTTACCAGAATACCTACGTTATTTTACGCCTTCCGTAATAGTTTATTATGCAGCTCAAAAATTATGTGCTCCGATTTCACGTTTTCTCTTCTTTTCTGTAATTCTGTCGTGGTGTTTAATTAATTAAAATTCGTTGCTCGTAAAACATCCAATTGTTTGAAGTCACACACTCAATGGAAACGTTGTTTATTTAATCTGGTCGAAGTACTTGGAATTGCGCAGTTTTGAATCGCGTGTGTAAATTCAGTACTTACTATATACCTTACAATGTGATATGCAGGTATTTCAATAAATTTATTCATTTTTACAATGAGATATTTCATTTTTACAACGAGACATATGGATACGCATAATAAAAAGTTTTACATTGATACATATCTATTTATAAGTATATAGTTAATAGTTATATATTGTAATAGGCGATGTATAAGCCCTTCGTCTATCATATTCGATATTATTATTGTTGGGTTACTGTTTATTTTTGAGTATGACACCTATGTTTATATTGAATGTTGATACGATTGAAAATGCCAATTGCGATAACACTCGTCTATATAGTAATGGTGGATGTAATTCATGGATTGATCAAATAACTGGTAGCTAACTCTTGTCCAAACGTATAAAATTAAAATTTTTGCATTAATAGTCCAAGTAAATGGGAGTTGATTACATCCGTTGCGACTTGCGTGTACAACGCTAGTGCGGTGCGTAGACCGAATTATTGAGGAGGTGGCATTAGCCGTCTACAATACAAGTACAAACAAGCACACACACACACACACATATGAGTATATTTTTTTGTGTTTCAAACCAAATAGATTATAGTACGGTCGGACGGTTTAACTTTAGCCGAATATCAAGAAAGCTTTTATACATAGTATTACCAGTATGTATTAGTTAAAAACTGATTCAAAAGTATTGTAGAGTACGAGTATAATCATTATGGTCCAGTCGGTTATCGTTATGGTTAAAAATCAAAAAAATCCATTCAAAAGTTAAGGCCTAAGTCGTGCATCGGCTTAATTCTCGAAGCTAGTGTTGTTATAGATGTATAACCGCGGGGAAAAGACAATAGTTACATTTTTTTTTCTCAGACGTGTGGAAATATAGAAAACGAATTTCAGTAGTTTTTTTAAAATTTTATATCACATCCGATAGTCTACGGCATCGAATGCAATACACGTGCACGTGGTGCGTGTACAGTGACATTGTCGTATTGACGTGGACGCGTTTTTGTTACAGATTCGTCATGAATTTGTTGGTGACGAATTTGGCGAGCAGTTGGATACTGGTGCCGTTAACGTTATGGGAAAGCGGCCCGTTCAGCAGTTGGACGTCGCCGCTACCGCCGGCCGTGTGGCACGGGCTGACCGGTGCTGTGTACGCGCAGTCCGTGCTGTCCGTGATGACGGTGGCCGTGGACCAGTACTACGCGGTCACCGACCCGCTGCGGTATCACGTGACGGTGAACGCGGCCAGTTGCGCGGTAGCCGTGGCGGTTACGTGGTGCCTGTCCGCCGTGGCCGGCGCCCTGTCGGCTCTATGCGAGCTGTCCGTCGCGCCGGAAGTGTACCGGCTCGTGTTTCCTGTGACGTACGCCGTGCTCCTCTACGTCGTCCCGTTCGTTACCGTGTGCGTGGTGTACGTGAAGATATGCACCGCCGCGCACAGGAACAGCGAACGGGCTCGACGTAACGGGTCCGTGCCCGACCACTTGCAGCAACAACAACCACTTCAGCAGCAGCAGCAGCAGCAGCCGCAGCAGCAGCAACAACAACCGTTACAACAACAGCTGCAGTACAACAACAATAACAACAATAACGCTAACATCAACAACAACATCAATAACAACGAGTATAACATAGTTCCTACCATTCAAGAAGAGGACGACGAGGCGTTGGAGTCCGCTTCCCTGCAGGCGGCTGTGTCCTACGAACCGGAAGCATCGTCCAAACCACCTCAGTCCACCCGAGCTAGTCTGAAGAGCACGTCCAGTTCCATTGTAAACCATTTGAGGTGAGCACTCGTACTTACGTTATAATATTTTCATATACGTCTCTTAAATATAATGCATTAAGCAACTATTTCTGATGACAAATCGCCATGCGAACTGCATGTCGATGTTGCATTTGTGACCGGATGCGCAGTCTAGATACTGTCTTAAAGTAAAATAATATTTTGTTCGCAGTCCGCGTAGTCGTTATTACGTTAAGCTTTTATTTTTTTTTAAATTTTAATCAGGCTACTTAAGCTTTTATCGCGTTCTCTCCTCCCCGCGTCGTCGCCCGAGAGTGATGAACCGCTGTAAATAGACCACGACGAAATGCGTTCATCACGTGCGCTGGTAAAAATCTATTCTAAAAGCTTTAAGTGTGAGTTTTAAAACGATCGTGCTCGCATTTTAAATTGACTTAGTTAACGATAAATGATTAAATTGTCTTTAACCACGTGTATTTATGTAAATTTGAAATTAATATTTATAATATACGCTCGTATATAACTTATAAAAACGAGGTAAAAATGGTGTTGAAAAATATAAGTCGTGCATCGTATTTATCGAATGTATAATATTTAATTGTAATTATATTTTATACGAATTTCATTAATTTTAAAAACCTTAGGTCGTTGGAAACTTATTTTTTCAAAAACGCTTTTTTTAATTTAAAAAACGGTTTCAAATAAATATGGTTCAAACAAAATACTATTCTTAAGATGTTATATTTTCACACAAAACACTATCTGACAATATATTTTTCCAAGCTAACGTTGTTTTTGAAATATACTTTTCGACAAATCAAATGGACAACTATTTAGATAGTATAATTATTGCTCAAGAATTAAATACGCATATAAGTATACGAGGTATATTATTTACCTATTCATACAATGTTATCGTACTGATTTCGTACAGTCGCAATAAATTTCTTCATGCTCACTAATCGTATTGTAGTAAATCATGTAAATTTATTGCTATAACTTTAAAAGACATCATATAAAACAAGGATTGGGACTGTAGAACATATTTTAATCGCGTCAAATAAAGCAAATAATAAGACGAAATGTTAAACCAAACTCCTCGCACGTATTTACATCACACCGTACCGTATACGCTAACATAAGTTATTATTGTACTGTAGTACTTATATGGCTATATATACTATAAAGTATTAAATACAGGCGCAGGTAATACAATTCAAATGATATGATGTGCTGTTATACCTACACAAATCGCACAATACTTTAAAGTATATTGTTGTCTCACGTTTTGTACTGTTATTAAATTAATAATATATTATTACAACTTGCAAGGGATAATAATATATACGCAATTATATTTTATAATAATAATTATAATTATGCGATCGATTGCAAACTGCTTCATTATATTACATTTCATCGGTGTTGCCGGCGGTGGTCCGCGTCTACTGTGTGTATAATTTAGTATGTATATGTACGGAGTGATTCATTTAACATAAGACATTAATTCTTTCAAAAGTTATTAATATTTTTTTGTTTATAAGTGTTTAAAGTTTTAATGAACGGTGTAGAGTGGTGCATAGGGGTAAATTCTGTGAAATGTTGGTCCACTTGCTATTCCGCTCATCAATACCTTAAATAGTTATAAATTAATAGACTACTTGTTCAAAATTTGATTTTTATCGATCGAAATAAATATGAAATTATGTACATGTATCTTATTGGAGAAAAACTTAAAAAATATAATTTTTTCCAGAAATATTGTTTTGTATAATGACTTAAAATTATGTTAAAGAAATATTTTTAAAACTTTAGTGTTTCCCGAAATAATGAGAGTCTTACGTTAAATAGATCACTCAGTATATACATATACACATATGAACGTGTGGGTATTTTATAATACATTATATCCAGTTGCAGAAATAATCGTGTATTCATGTGTATAATAATTCTTCCGGGTGTACGATTTATTATTTTTTTGCGTGAATTTCACGGGCTGCTGTCAAAGACGTGCAACAATAATTTATATTAATATAATATTAAACACACGATGATCAGGGTCATTTGTTGAGTGAAATATTATTATTTTACACGTCTTACGCCTTACGCGTACTACCGTATCTAATACATAGTATTATTTAAACGTATTCTCTGCAAAATATTCAACTGATGCACGTCGCCTATATAACACAGAAGTTCGAGTGCAATACAAATAATTATTACTCATGTTGCAACGTTATAGATTTATTGTAGCAATTATGACAATGATAATGAATTAAAATATTATCAACATCATAATATTATACGGTACCACTGCGGCGGGGATCATCGAACGATTTATAATAATATGATACATTGTAATTTGTTAGGTACTACTATTGGTATAAAAAAAAAATATTTAAAAACCGTTAAATTATATCGTATTCCGTCGATTCGAAATTCTTATTAAAACAAATTTTTTTTTTTAAAAATCATTCCTTTGAGTTCGTGCAAAGAGAGAGAGCAGATATTTAAAAGACTGTGAAACCGATGGGGAAGAGGGAAATGAATGGGTGCGGATAATTTTTACTACTCCGTATAGAGAGCAATGGTCGGCTATAGTATATAAATATAATATTATTTACACGGTATATATTATTATTTTATTATTATTATCAATTATATATAATATATATTTATACTTATAATAAGTAACAGCAGAAAAACGGCTAAAAAATTGATTAATCACTATATATACGTCAGTGATGATCATGTAGTTGTAGGGAAAGTCGTCATTAAGTATTGCCATATCAGTGACTGGCTTTATTTTATTCCATCTACGCATCTGTGGTTGTACGATTCATATGTATGTGATAGCATGTATTATATTATCTGCAGGTATTCGAAAAATAATTAATAAATAAAACATAATAAAATAATACAATAATTAATATTATGTACTGTAAGTAGAAAATCCGTCAGAGACGATTATTATTGTCAGAAATCTCAACGAAAGTGTTAGTCGACGTTTCGATATTCGAATATATTATAATACGTTTAATACGAGTATATAAGATATAAATTAGTTTCTACAGCAGTTTTCATTTTATATTATTATAATCTGAGTATTAATAATTACTTATTATAAAGCGTGAGTACTGTCAACTCTAGTAATTATATATATATATATTTATATTTATAAAAGAGCGTTTATTGAGTATTTAAAATCTATACGATGAAATATGAATAGGTACTATTAAGTTAATTTGACCAAAGTAGAAATGACTGCGAATGGTTTGAAGAAAGACTCGCTGTCATCTCATTTTACATTGATGACACAAATCTACAGTAAAAAGTATCATACAATTGTTTTACAATGTTAACACATGTTTGTACGCTTTATTTATTCCACCCACCAATGTGTTTAATGTATAATATGATTAAGTATTATAATCATAATAAATATGGTACAATATGCTGAAGAGTGAATCATTTTATGATTCATAAAATCATAATACTAATATGTAGGTTTGATGAAAGAGTCATCTCGAAGACATTTCGACTAAATAATATTATTTAGGTACATCATGATGTCATGTCTATGATAACGCTCCGCAATCTCATTTATTGTCTAGTTTTTTTTTTTTTTTTTATTATTATAAACCTGCGTGACCGCTTTTTTTATACCAATCGAACAAGATAAAAATACTTAATCTGAATATTTAAAAAAAATATGAAAATCGATTATCTTTGCAACCCACGAAAAGGAAAAATTAATATTCAATATGTTTTATACCTACATATTATTAACTTTTAGGTAATCGCCGTACCTAATCGCATTCGCAGCTCGCCAGTCGGTTGCGGTCCGCGCGAGCTACCAACGTAATCTAGAATAGTTTCATACGACAATGCATAATAATAAGCAAAATCCGCATGTAATTAGTTTTAAATTGTTTGTAAAATAACGATTATTATTTTATGATACTATGCGTTTTTGATATATTACACATTAATACGTATTACGTATACTGTACACGGAGAACGAAGGGCGTTGGTGTTTATAGTTTTAAATCGCGAAATCTCATCATAGTATACGTTTTCACGGCTGAGCGTCGTAAAGATTTAATTTCGTTTAGTATAAGTATATAATATACAATTTTGAAATCAGAAATTTTGTTTCTCTCATACAATCTCCTATAGTAATAACTTATAAACCTTTTTTTTTTATTCATAATTAATTTGTGAAAGTTTATTTGTTGTATCGTTATCGTTTTTATTTCGATTGCAAATCGTGTTTATTCAATATAAAATATACAATATGTTTCATTGTACCTAAAATATACAATATACGTTTAGTTGATATTTCTCTTTCATTTCGAATTCGATGACTTATCGATTAGGCATAGGTACACTAAATATATTATATAACTATATTTGATTTTACACACAACTTTACTGTTTAAGTTTACGTTGATAAATCATCTTATCATTGTATGTAACATGATATATTATAATGTTCATCAAAATGGTGAGTTGAACTTTCTCGCCAGAGATATGAGAAAATCGCATTTTAGACTATAATCTCTGTTCAACAACGTCTGAGTCAATGTTTAGTTTGTTAGCGCGTTTTAAAATTGACAAACTGCATTTTAAGTAGGCACATTAGAAAAAAAACCTAAATACTTTATTGTCTTGTTGACATTCTAACCGCATCATATTAAAATGTATACGTAATCGGTAAAACCGCGAGAAAAACGAAGACTAAAACACATTTGACGAAAATAAATCAATACTTCTATATAAAAACATATTTTAAATAACTGCAGTGTATCACTAGTCAATATTATAATATTGTTTTGTATTTCATAATTACGAACTATTAAGTTTTATAATTATTATCCGCCGTTAGTAAAATATTCAAAGGAAATTACAAAGTGACTTTATACCCGCGTTACGAATATTATACGTCGCGTTTGTAAGCCGTGGTAATACTGTGTATAGTTTCATTTTTATTTTGCATCCATCTATTTTAAACTCTATGCTTAAACTGAAAAAAAATAAAAGACTCATGTCCTAAATACATCAAGGCTAATGCGTTGGACGAGTAGTGAATATCGTATAAATTTCATCATAAATCGTATATATATTTTAAAGGACGTGTGTATTTATTATATACTCATTATGTGAACAAAAGACGCAGTAACAAGACCTAGTTGTTAAAATAAAAGGATAAAAAAGGGTTAATTAAGTGTCAAACAGTATCTCTACATTCAGATCGTTGTCAATACTGAAAATAAGCCGAATCCAAAATTTTTATATAAAATCGGTAGCATACTATGCTCTATTTATTTTAACCTTATTCGTAGATACGCGTCAGTATATCACCGAATAGTGTTAAGACTCGCATCTCGGTATCCAATAAACAAATGTTAAACGAAAAAAAAACGATATAGAGAAAATATAGGTATAGTGTATTTAAAAAAATCAAATTAGTCGTACACGTCTTGTTTTCTGCATATTCATTAAAACATTTTCATAATTAATAGGATTATAATACACGTTTCTCTCTCGATGTGTTACCATAAAAAAAATTCAGAAATCTAAGCATCCTATTAGCAAACTTGGATTTTCGCCAATGCACACGCACATAATAATAAACTTATTATTAAAAATTCTCTTACCCAAGTCTAACATCATTAGGTATTGATTTCCGTACACAATACGCACACGCATTGATATATTATTTTAACCTCATTAATCTGGAACTTGTCCGTTTCGCTTGTCTATTTACAGATACAGGATATCGAACGCAAGCATGTTCCGTTACCGGGAGGAAACGCGGGCGGCCAAAATCTCCGCGCTAGTCATTGTCACGGCGGCCGCGTGCTGGACGCCGTACGCGGTGCTCAAGCTGTCCGAGTGGCCGCCACTGTTCGGCAGCGGGATCCCGTCGCCGGGCCCGCTGGCCGCGCTCCTGTCGCTGTCCGCGCACGCCGTCATCACGCCCATACTGTTCGCGCACCGCAACCGGCGCGTGCACCGCGAACTCTGCCGCATATTCTGCCGGCGGAAGCGGTGCAGCAGTTTCTACGACAACGTCCGGAACGCGACCGTCGCGTCGTCCGTGGCCTCGGGGCCCATCAAGTCGGCGGCCACCATCGGCGGCGGCGGCGGCCTAAAAGCCGCGGGCCCGCAACACGTCTTCGGCCGGTGGTTCGGCGGCGGACAGGGCGGCGGCATCGGGTTCGACAAGTCGGCCGCTAAACCCTACGTCGCGCCGTCGTCTGTGGTCGTGCCCGCCGCCGCGCACCTGCCTACCGACACGGAGATGACTCGCAGCTCGTTCTCCAGCAACGGTAGCGCCACCACGCAGACGTCGTCCGTGATCACGGTGGATTGACCACGACGGTTCGCCGCCTACACGTCGAGGCGGCGTTGACCCGTCTGCTCCGAAACTTCTTTTCTAGTCACCCCGTTCCCAAAAAAATATCTACCCTCATCCCCCTCACGGGTGCTCGTCTACGCTGTATTTTATGTATATGTATATATATATATAGATGTATATTTGTACACGAGCCACTCACCCACCACCGTCATCTTCGTCGTCGCCTCATCCCCACGAGTATGAACATGTCTATACGTCCTATCCCAAACCTACCACCCTCCATTCATCATTCAACCGGTGGTTTGCCAACAGCCGCGATTTGTCGGACGAGTGTATAATTGTTTGTACGTGCAGCTTATAGTTGTCACGCGCGTTTTGTATATTACAAGAATATACGCGCGTGATTTTATCATAAACGGTTCTCAAAACTTGTTTTCCTATTATTGTGTACTTAAAACAAAATCGGTTTTTATTTACGTATTTTATTATATTATACATGTATATATAAATTTATGTGTACTTTGTTTCTAAAAAAAAAAAAAAAATGAAAAATATACCCACACTCGTGTATTGTAATATTATATGTTATTTTTTTTATGTTATTAATTTGTAATTTTATTAAATATAATATGTATATATACATATATATATGTATGTATTATTGAACGTATGTAGTATTTGGCTAATCATTTGTGGATTGCTTTTATATTTATTATTTTACCGATGTATCAATTTTCCCACCAGGTATTAAATATCCGATCGCTTTTCACGCGGAACGCATATATTTTTATAGATAACTTAAAATACGGCATTCTCGAATAATATTTTAACTTGTATTTGTATTCATTTTTTCTAATGTTAAATGTTTCCTTCTACCAAAAATTTATACGACCCATTGAATTGTTTTAAAAAAATTTAAACTATATATTAATTGTAAAGTATGCAAAAATGAATTGCTTTTGAAACTTATGTTTAGTCCATAATGCATCGCTAATATATTTAATTTCCTATTTTTTGATTACGCAAAGTGTTTTGATTTTTTCTCCTCGCATTCGTAATCTTACACGTCAATTAATTCCTAACATACACATTCACACATATATAACATATTATGTATATTATTATCGCAGTACTGAGTACATACGTAATAATAATAATAATATTATGTACGGAGTATAGTTTGTATGCCATTACTCACAGTATAGTATGTTACTATTTGCCTTACAATTCATGATCACTTCTATTTAGGTAGGTATATAGTACCTAATCGTACTATCGCAGCTCCCACAGTAATGCGTACCTATATACAATGAGTAATGATGTTATGTAGGTCGTCAGTAATAATGTCTCGGCGATGGTATGTATGATAATATATATTTATTGTATTATATAGGTACTAGTTGTATTACCTGGGGATAAATACAACCGAGATAGTCATTCCACCTGCGGTGGGTAGTAATAAGTAATTTTTTTTCATAGGTCTAACTAATTGTAAACAAAAAAATGAATATGCGGTTATAATTTTAATATTAGTAATAGCAAGTTATCTACCCCCCAAAAAACTGGTTCAATCTATCATCTAAACTTCCCTTGAATCGTCAAAATTAGTTAAGTATTTTTTAACACAGAAATCTCAACTTTGAACTTTACCCTTTATGTAATATAATAACTGTTATTCAGTTTTAAATTCAAATATAGAATAGCTTTCTAAGATTAAATGGTAAAATGTAATACAATAGGTACAAAAAAATAATATTATTTTATTATGTGTAATCTATGGCAACCCTATATATGAACTAAAAATATATTAGATTTTCGTGAGCGGAAACGAAATTTACGTGTTAACCTGCACCCTACATCGACTTATATGGAATGAAAAACGAAACTACAAACCCTTGCCGAGATTTCAAGAAATGTATTGATATAAATTTTATTGAAAACGGTACATTCGTTTTTAAATTTGTAGAGGAAAACGAATACATAAAAAGAAACATTTATTTAAAAAAAAAAAACATATCCATTATCAATGATTTAATTTTATAACCAATAATATTATATAGTACATCGCAGCCCACAAATATGGACGTAGTAGTGTTGCAATCGCGACAAAAGAAACAGCCAACGGTGGATATGGAAAATGAAAAACTAGCAATAGTGAGATACTTGGGTATTGTAGAGGTAATTCGTAAATGTATTTTACATTATACATAATACTAAACATTCTGATGTAGTATGGACGCTTTAGATGACCGAGGTACCGTGTTGTCTTGTCCAGCGTATTGGTAACATAATCGTTAACCTTACTCTAATGCGGTATTCCATTACTACAGCTGTAATTTTTAAGCTATAACATACGTAGATAATATAATATTTTTTTACTACGGCTTCTTCAATCTATAAAAAATGCTTGTGGCTCCTAAATGATTAAGAGCATATAAGTAGATATATAATATTTTAATGTTTAATTATAATATATATTATAATAAATACACAAATTATACTGAAAAACAGATGTACGTACCTATTAATAATTAATTATACGCGGAAAACCGAAATCAAATGTTTTCCATTTAGAATAAAATTATATTATTTTAATCGCCATCATTATAATTATGTATACATGTATATCATATAATTATATTTTTTTTTCTATGTCGTAGATCCCTTGACATCACTTGCGATGCATGCCCCTTAGAGCCGTAATGCTCATATTCACCTCTACGCTATAATAATAATAATAATATTATAATCATAGAATAATTGTTTATGTTTATTGAAAATACAATAAATTTATTATATGGTGTATTGTGATACAAGTACAAGATCCTATAGATACTTATTTATTGCGTATCGCAATATTATATATCCGTTTGCTTTTACTTAAAATCGTATTTGCTAAATACTAGACACATTTAAATACTCAATAATTTCGATGATAATTATTATTAAAATGTATTTTTTTAGTATACAAGTGGCATAAAGGCGTTTTATTTAAACATTCAGAATACAATGAAAATCAGTTCATAGTTTTATCATTATTTAATTATTACAATACAGTTCTTACTTCTTTTCAATGTTAATGTTGATGGTTTATAGCAGAAGCCAGTAACTCTTGAATAAAAAAAATATTAAAATCATTTAAACAATAATGATTTGATGAAAATAAATACAAAAAAGTGTTGGCAATAATTTATAACAAGTATATAGGCATTTTTTTTTCAAATTATTTTTACATGTACATATATAAAAAAGTATTAGGATTCTTATGTTTTAATGAATATAATTAGTACATATAACTGCGTATGAAATAGGTAAAATGGTAGATTTAAATATTATAACAATATTATTACAATATATTAGGAGATATTTAATGGAAAATAGTAAAACAAATTTAAATTTAAGTCCAGTCTAGACTTCCAACTTATCTTTTTACTGTACCAAGTTATCATCTTTTATTAAAATACTTGTTCGATATATAAGTTAAAAATGGTTGTGATATTTGATACACAATACTTTTCAGAAGAGTATCGTGATAAAAGGTAGGTACTAGACACATATATCTCCGATACTAGTCTGTCTGGATAGACGTACAGCGTATAACAAATATAATTATTTTGCTTTAGAACTATCCGTCTAACATCATTGTATCTAATTTTGCTAAATTACTGCAAGTATAAAATAAATTAATTTAATTACCAATTATTACCAAAAGGCTTCTTACTCTTTCACAGCTCATTTTATATATTAGTTAAAAAAATATGTGTTTTAAACTTTTTAAAATTAATATAATTCTTAACTTATGTAGAGTGAGGTGAATTACATATTTGATAGCCTTAGAATATTTATAACAATTACAATTTAAAAAGTGTTTAATAAATTTAACCTATTAAAAACAGTATAAAACATAATATCTTTTTAACCAATTTAAGTTTTCTTCCTTTTAGTTTAAAAACATTTTAAATACGTAGGTATTTTTTTTCTAAATTTTGTCAACATTTTCATGTCGCAAATAAAATTATGTTTAAAAGTTGATCCTTACTACAAGAGTTTATCAAGTAATTTCTAGAACATAGGTACTTTATAGTTAAAAAAAACTTATAATACATACTTTATACTTATCAAATAACTAGTATCAAACCGGTAAAATAAAAAATATAATATTACAAGTGTCAAACTAGTTATATTTTGGATTAACTTGTTTTATTACAGTCATTTAGTAAAAACGAAATTATTGGCTCACGCACAAATTATTATGTTTACTTAGACCGCATAAATCATTATAAATCAATCGTTTTCAGATTAATAAATAACATACCAGAGGCCTTAAAATAGCCCGTGAGGCAATATCCGGAATATTTGCTTATTTCCTCGACAACCCGGATGAATGTTGTTGCATTCTGGATTATGCTAAACTTAACTTTGCTATAAAATTGTAGTATACATTTGTTAGATAAACATAACAATAAATATAGGTGTCTTCTTTATAAGATGTTTGGACATCAACAAAAAATATAAAATGTGTAATGTACTGTGTACACGATTTTTGCGCATTCCGTTAAATTCTGCGCATAAAAATGACCCGGTTTGTTTTGGTTTTTTCTTCTTACGAATGATATAATAATATTATGTAAATACAATGCGGTCATTGCGTGACTTTTCGTCGTTGAATGACACGCGTACGAACCGCATCTCCTATAGTGAACAAATTGATAATTACACTAACTTTATATAGATCCTACATATTTATCAAACACCCGAAATACCTTATTTTTAGCAAAGAAAAACAAATAATATTTATTATAAAACCAGTAGCAGATACGATGTCGTCGACCCGTCAACCAATGACAACAATAAATAAGTAATAATAATATCTTTCACCTAACGCTCGTTACTCATATAGGTACATAACTACAAAGCAGTTGTAGCCTGTAGGTATACTTTAAATAATTATTCATCAATTTATTATTAATAATGTCATAGATTTACACCTAATAGAATTTAAATATTTTGTATACAAATATCATGATATCATTTTATAAATAATTAATCCGTAATCGGCATATATTAATCACAACGCGTTTTTGTCTTTCGTCTACCCATCGTCACTTATGTACTTACTCGTATGTACACAACTGCGTTTTAATAATACTGCAATTCGTACACTGATTATTATACTATTTTTTTTTTCAATTTTGTTATCCGTATTTCACTTTCAAAACACGAGTTGACGACCTTGCGGTGGCGGCCATATACGGCCGTGTATTTTAACAGTATATATCTGTATACACACTATCACACTGCGAGCTAAAAGCGTACACGAATGTGTGAACATATTAAAATGATGTTGTGTGCATAATATTAATAAAAACAAACTCCGTCGCCGCTGTACGACGTC